TCACATATATGTGAACATATATATGAATACGAATATTTTAAGGATGTTTACAGATTTCTTTTTACTACTACTGCCTCTTTAAAATCAAACAAATGAATGGATTTTTGAAGATCTGTATTATAGCCAGAGCTATGTAAGAGACAACTCTAAATAATTTTTTAAATTATCATTTAAAAACCTACTTTAAAGCTTATACAGATACTTTAGAGTTTACAGATCATTAATATATTGCAACATAATGATATATTTGAAAAAGTAGTTATCCTTGTTATTAGCTTAAAATGAATAATCAAGTCATAATGCAAACTCTATCCTGATCTATATGTCTTATACTTTGTTACCTCTTAAGTACAATAAAAAGTAAATGCTGTTTCTAACAACAACAAAACCCCATGTCACCTTACCAGGTAAAATGGCTTAAATTTTAACACATACTTAATTTAAATTTGGTTACAAAACTACTAATATATTTTAATTAGTACTTATAACTCTTAGATATCTAAAAAACTATATTTTTAAAAGATTTATTTTATTTATGTGCATACACACTAGAAGAGGGCATCAGATTCCATTACAGATGGTTGTGAGCCACCATGTGGTTTCTGGGTATTGAACTCAAGACCTCTGGAAGAGCAGCCAGTGCTCTTAACTCTGAGCCATTTCTCCAGCCCTAAAATACCATGTTTTATGTGTTTTAGATAAAGCCTCTTGGTCTTCCATTTTTAATTAGCTCACTAAAAATTGTTTTCTAGATTTTGTAATAACAATAGTAATGTTAAGATTGAAGTATATTGCAAAAAGATTATTTAAGAAATGGATATGTTCGTAACTAAGCTAAAAATAACATAGAGGTTGTAAAATTTAATTAATCCAAAACCCTAAGAGAAAGTTAATGCTTGAGTTTTTACATCCATATTTTCTTAAGTATTAATTTGTTCTTAGCAATACTTACTAAAAACAAAAAAACTTTTAAAACTTTTATTTTATCCTTTTACTAAATGAACATTTAAAATCTATGATTAAATTTTAGTTTTATATGTCTCAAGTTAGTTTTTCTTATCCAAATTTTACAGAAAACACCAGTCTAAAAGTCTAATCGCAATATTCACAATGTTTTATAACTTAAGTACTGATGTTTCTTGATTTAATTAGTATCTAAACTGTCCAATAATAAAATTATCTAAGATTAAAATAAGAAAGGGAGAAGAATAATGTTACACTGATTTCTCCCAAAGTTCTTTTCTAATCATTTAAATATGTTAGTTCATATATTACAAATAACTATAAATACAGAATAAATATAAAGTCAATCTGGTTATAAAATTTGGTTTTAGACGTTTTCTTTGCTGCTGTCACTCCACTAGGCCAGACTGTGTTCTTGAATATTTAATTTAGGTATAGTCATCTTAGTTCACATGCTATGTCAGGTACAGAGAGTATAAAAGATAATTCAGATGTTGATCCTGAGCGAATGGTTTGATAAGATCCAGGATTTTGTTTTTTACCGGCCTTTATAACATACCCATTTTTGTGTCAGAACTAACATTTTGTGATTAATACATTAAGAAAAAACCCTTTGGAAATTTATTAACTTAGCAGACTCCTAGCGTCTACCAACTCAAAAGCTACAGATGTCATCCATAGCATCTTAGACTTGTAGAAACTACCCCTACCTTGCTGTAACCGCCTCTCTAAATGTATTCTACACTGGCCTTGGGTTTGACTTTCTTTGTTCTGTAAAACTATGAAATTGCTTCCACGTTGGCACATAGAATCTGGGGTGATTGTAATCTATGTTTCTGGACCATGATCACTTAAAATGGCCCTAGAATAAACTAATCTCTTATTTCCTTTAAGATGAGAGCTGTGGTTTTTTGCTTTGTCATTTTCTCATTATCTGTGAATTTCATTTTGTGAATTGGAGAGATAAGAACCCAGAGGTCACTAACTCAGTGGAAGTTTTACGTGACCATGGGAGTATGTCACTTTAAATCCTGAGTTAAAGTCCATCTGAGGAAAGATAATGTTTCTAATAGAAGTCTATTAACTCAAAGTCTATCTCGCCACTTCTCTGTATCAGCAGCAAGCTTCAGCCTTTTCCTACTTCAACGTGAAATCCTGGGGAAATTCCATTTCCTTAATAACCATTTCTTCAATAGTCTGATATAGCTCTAGACTAGGACATGTGTTTCTCTGTAGAAGATCTCAGCTTCTATCAGGATTGCCACAGTGCTGTGTGCTCCCAGACATAAAGCTCACTTTTTCTTTTTCTTCCTTCCTTCCTTCCTTCCTTCCTTCCTTCCTTCCTTCCTTCCTTTCTTTTTCTTTTCTTTTTTTAAATTACATTTTATTTATTTATTTTGTGTGTATATGTTTTGGTGCGCACATGTTATAATGCAGGAGTGGAGACAGAGGACAACTTGTGGAAGACAGTTCTTTTTCCACCATTCGGGTTCCAGGTATTGAACTCTGGTCATCTAGCATGTACCTTGGTAAAGGTATCACAGGTGTGTGTCTCTGTGTGTGTGTGTTGTGAGTGCATTTGCGAACATCCATGCTTGCACCATCCATGGGTTGAGACCAGAACATAACATTTAGGAGGTCTCCTTTAACATTTCTTGATGCATGGTCTCTCTTGCTTCTTCTTATATAGAATGCCTGATTTGTATTAGACTTGTCTGAAAGGTTTGGGGTTTGGAATTGTAAGGGGGCCACTGAGGGAGACTGTCCTTTGGATAAAAGACGTATTCTAAGAGTTAATAATTCCATGGTTAGGCAGACATAACGGCAGCAGAGCAGGAGTTCAGAGCAAGGTTCTGGCCCTGATGTCCTAGGAAGACACACACACACAGCAGGGGTGGGTTCTAGGAAAGTTCAGGACCGTGAAACAGATCAGGAGTCCCTTCTTATAGGTCTCATGTCATATGGTTAATGAGTCATCCTCAGTATGAGCCAAGCTGTCCTTGATCCCCAGGTCATAGGGGAGGTAGCCCTTCATTCTGGAGAAGGATTATGTGATTTTGAGAATTCTGGAGAGGAGAAGTACATTTAGTTGAAGTGTATCCAATTATACCAGTAGCCCTCTGATGTCCTGGGGGTCTGGTAAGCTGAAGTCTGTAAACTTGCTTGGGTTTGCCATTCTCCTGAAAACTTGGCACCTGGGAAGTCTGCTAAGGGATTAGAGAGTCACAGACAGACTCTCAGTTTCTTACATCAGCTGTGGCTGTAAGGAGGACGCTTCTGCATGTAAGCACAGCTCAGTTAGCTTATAGTTATAAAGCTAACATTGTCTACAAGCAGAAGTGATACTTTTTGATGCCCAGAGAGTAAGTTTCCTTCAGCTAACTTAATAACCTACAGTGGTTGTGTAAGGATGTACAGTTAGAGCCCAGCCTCTCGGGACGACTCTCACAGATACTGACAGGCATGCTACTGGTACTTTGTGTGTCACTTGTTAACAGGCTCACCTAGGAAGTGCAACTACACCAAAGACTTGTCAAAGTTTGTTCCCCACCCCATTCTGTGCCTCCTACCTGGAAATCTGAGGGGCCTGACTCTTGCTGTGAACCCCCTTCCTACAAATGTATGAGAAGAGGCTCCCTCTTTTGCTGGGAAGGCTCTGATTCTCTGTAGAAACTTCCCCATGAGGTAGGTCTCTGGTGCTTCGGACCCAAACTCTTCTGAGAGTCCCTGCCATTCTGCTGCTCCTGTCGGTGTGTTCACAGCATGAATAACTCTCATAATAAACTTCTTAGTCCCCGGTTATCTATCTCAGTGTCCCCTGAAATCACCAACCTCACATCCAAAACCTAACAGTTTGTAGACTTGAGAGGAGAAGGGTACAGAGGCTGTGGGGGTTTGAGCTGACCACAGAGACTTGGTTAAGGCTTTTTAACTGTATTGAACATTTTTTTTCCTTTGCTTTGGATTATGTATAGTTTTGATGCTGTAACCAGGAATGCCTAGCAGGAAGGAAATACTCTAAAGACACTTCTGCCCGTCCTTTTGGCTGTGAGACTATTGAAACAATGGACCCAAAGAAATTACAATTTACCCAAGAATCTCTCATGCTGGGAGAAAGAAAAGGCTGAGAGGAAGCCAGGAAGATAGTTGAGCTTGACAAAGAACTGTCTTCATGAGCCAGATTTAAAACTTCTCATATGATCCACTGGAAAGCTTGGGCTCAGACAGCAGTGATTGGCCAGACCATTACAACCCTGAATCTTGATGAGGGCGAGGCGGGATTGGGGGTGGGGAGGGAGAGGCGGTGTGTGTGTGTGTGTGTGTGTGTGTGTGTGTATGTGTGTCTGTGTTTGTGGATCTCTTTGCCCTTCTTTCCATGGTATTGATTTTCCTTCTCTCTCTCTCTTTCTTTTTTTTTTTTTTAACGTTAGCTCTTTTAATAGACTTTCTAAGAATGGGTGGCCCTAACTGTGGTAACAATGTGAGGCTGATTAAGCAGTGTCGTGTTGCATTAAATGACCTTTAGCTTTCTGTACCGCTCCTATAAAACATTCTGCTTATTCTATGAACATAAAAGAAACCGTTATCTCTTTCCTCCCTCCAGGAAGGAAAAGTAAGTCTGAGGTATGTAACTTCAGACATTTCAGAATTCTGTCATCGCAGTCTGACCAGCTGTTCACAGCTTTTGTTTAGGAAAGGACAGTGTGGCATCACACACCCCAAATACAGCCTGCCTTTCCTCTTTAAATCTGCGGTGGCCCTTGCAGTGAAACCTAACTCTGGTTTTGCCTTGGTTTCCGTTTGCTTCCTTTTCAAATGTATCTTCTTCCTGCTTAATTTTCTTTCTTTCTTTTTTTTTTTGTAAAAGGCAGAGCCTGCGAAAGGAGAACCCCCTTTCCATAGGTCTAAAAGACAGGAAGTTTACGAGAGGGTAGGGGCGGGGACGGGGAAGCATACTCTTTCAGTTCTAAAATACAGTGGCTATTAAGGCTGGAGATGCTGCTGCCCAGAGCACGAGTCTTAAAAAGATCTTCTGTCTAGATTTCCTCTTTTCCAGTCTCCTTGCCAGCAACTCCAGAAAACACTTCAAAGCTGATAAGAGGGCTTAGGCTCTCTTCCGTTTGAATCTACACTTCTTTCTTGACTCAGGATAACCAGCTAACAGATAGTCATTACTTTCATCCTGGAATGAATTGAGGATATTCATTAATTTCCTTGAAGCTAGATTTCTAGGAAGTCTTGACTTTGCCTGTCTCTTGAGGCAAAACTTTTCAACTTTTTTTTCCCTCCCCCTCCTGCTTTTTCTCCACTCCCCTGCAAGCAAGAGTGGACATATTCTTTTAAGCGTGACTTCTGTGGCCGGCATAGATCCTAGCTGAGGTCTTCCTCCAGTGTGCAACATTGCTGGATCTCACTGAGGCCTGGGCTGTTCTCCTTTTAACACCTCATAGCTGAGGTAAGTTGCCATTCTTGTTTTCTACTGTCGGAGATCAATCTTAGGGCCTTCTGCATGCCATGCAAATGACCTATCTCCTAGCTCTTATCCCAGACCTGTCTTGTTTTTACATCTTCATGCTAAATAGAAACTATTTTTTTTGACTTGTGCATTGACAAATGTGTGATTAGATCTGTACTTTTTACACTTTCCTATGTGTATGAGTCACTTGATCTTATTAAAATATAGGATGAGATCATGGGGGTTTAAGAGTAATCAGAATGAGTTGCACTCGTGCATGTAACCAGCAAATAACAAATTTAATTAATTAAAGAAATAAAAACAAGAACTGGAGATGTAGCTCAGTAGGTGGGCACTCGCCTAGCATATTTAAGGCCCTGGGTTCATTTACAGTGCTGGGTTCATTTAATTTCCAGGAGACTGGAAACTAAAAACAACCCTGCTGTGAGCCTGAGATTCTATGTGTTTTTTAGTTAGTTTATTTTTGTTTTAAAGACATGGTCTCACTATGTAGCTCTGTTTGGCCTCCAACTGGCTATGGAAGACCAGGCTGACCTCAAACTTGATCTGCCTGTCCCCAATTCCTGATGCTAGGATTAAAGGCATGCACCACTGCATTTGTCTTAGAATTTTTAACTTTTACCTAGGGATTGAAATCAAATTCATGTGTGATAGGCCAACCAGTATCCTACCTCTAAGCTGTTTCCCCAGCCCATAGATTCTGCCTTTTAACAACCTCCAAGAGACCACTGCATTGACTTGCAGTGGTTCGTATTCCAGCCTTTAGTAGTTTACTTAGCTCTCTAGAGATTTTGCTGTTTAAGAATGGGCTGGAGGGTACAGACAGGACCGGATTCGACTGACCGCATGATTAATGTAAAGAGCTGAGGAAAACAAAATCAAACAATATCCCTGCCCTGGTTGTGTTTCTACTCTGATGTGTTGTCTTTAAACTTCGAAGTTTTCCTGAAAGAGTTCCTAGATGCTGTAAGCAGGGTTTGTCAGATTAGGATGTCAGTGTTCCCTTTTACCGTATGTTCATCCATGAGCAAAGCCCCTTCTTTCTTCTCCACACAACACACATTTATTTACCAGCCCATGCTGCTTTTATGCCAAAACACCAGAAAGGAGTGGCGAGAACAGAAACTACATGCTCAGAAGTCTGAAATATCTACTGTCAGACTTTTTCAGCAGAAGTTCGCCAAGCATCCACGACATAGGCAGGAGGTGCTCTTGCCTCTTCAGGTCCGTCGGGCTATGAGTCTGGCTCTCTCTGTGGCACTGGTGATAGAAGACTGAGCCAGAGATTCCTGCTTGTTTGAAACTCACGTCATAGATCAATAATAATAATAATAATAAAGAAGAAGGAAACAAATGCATGAAGCAGTGTATAAAAGATATTCAGGAAGGCAAACGGAGGTTTACCAACAAAATGTTAAGGACAGCTAATTGAAGGCAGTCTAAAGAGACAGAGGGAAAAGCAGACAGAGTGGAGGAAAGCATGGGTGCGGCAGAAGACAGGTGTAGATGGAGTAATCACTTTACGGTTCCCATACCTAGGCATTTGTATTTGTTAGTTACTGCTGGCTTATGGCAACAGCGCACACTGCAGTTTAATGGCACCCTCCACAGGCCCATTCACTGTTCTATGAAGTCAGCTCTTTCATCATGATGGGGGTAGAGAGTAAATTGTGGGAACAGGTGGTTATTTCCAAGAGCGATCCAAAGTGTCTTTCTAGACCAGCATTAATTGACATGGTGATTATTAGTGGTATTAATTGCAAATCCAAATTCACAGACATTAGCATAATCCTCTTAAATCAGAATCCTGGTGCGTGGTCCCCTAAATCAGTATTTTCTATATGGCTTTGTGAGGGGTGATGGTGCTGGCACTTGAACCAAGGGTGTGGGGATGTGAGTTCCTACTGACCTATACACCCTGCTGTTGAGCAAATCTACCCTGAGAATTGATATTTGCTGAGATTCACCACATGTAACTATTAATAAATATTTATTTCTGTCAGTAGTTCTCAACCAGGATCAATTGTGCTTCTTATGTAAGACTGTCAAACAAAACACACCTTTTAAATATAAGTATCTCCTGTGTAATAATTTTAATTTAAGACTCAGGTTCCACTTGTATCTGTTAATAATTCCCCCACCCATGCTCATGCAAGCAACCCTAATTAAACATAGTGGGACACATACATCGCACACACACACACACATGCACACACACACACACACATACACATCTCACACACACGCAGACATGCACATACACACATGTGTGCGCGCACACACTTGCAGAGAGAGAGAGAGAGAGAGAGAGAGAGAGAGAGAGAGAGAGAGAGAG